GAAGCCACTCCTGAGAATTCCAGATTCTCCATGGTACCAAGGACACCATATCCCACAGTAGGGTCAGTTAAATAAGCTACCCAGCCCATACCTTGAAAATGCTGGTTTATATCCTTCCCATTCAAATTCATCCCCTACATCTCCTCACTATTCTTTTTATACTATTTTCACAGAGACTCTGACTACAATAATGGACTCACATTGGCTCCTAATCTGAATGAGATTAGAAATATGCTAGCCATTATCCCCATTCTAACTGAAAAAGTGCCTGCTCCACAGAAGTCACCACCAAAGTAGTTCCTTACATAAGCAACAGCATCTCTAATCCTAGTAGATCCTAGTAGTTATCAACAACAGTATGATACACTCCAGACAATGAACAATCACAAAAGCCCTAAACCAAACAGTATCCCTTATAATTATCATAGCACTGTTGATAAAATTAGGACTATCCCCCTTTTACTTCTGAAGTAATGCAAGGAGTCTAACTAATATCAAGTGTAATTCTCCTTACATGACAAAAACTAGCACCAATCTCCATTTTATTTCAAGAGTACCCATCAACAGACTTAAGCATACTATGGGAGATTGCAACACTATGGGAGATTGGTTAAGGGGGCCTTAACCAAACAACTCTGAAATATTTTGGCCTATTCGGCAATTGCTCACAACAAATTGAATAATCACAATTTTAACATCTAATCCTTCTTTCACAATCCTAAACCTATCAATTTATGTAAATCTAGCAATTACAATATTTATACTATTTAACCTAATATACACAAAACATTATTATTAACTACATATGTAATAAATTACCACTCCTAACTTCCATGATTCTCCTCACTCCCTAAGGGGGTTACCTCCAGCTATAGGATTTGTGTGCCCAAATAGGTATAGGGTAAATCCCCAAGTGCTGAGATCACAGGAATGAGTCACCATGCCTGGCCAAATGTAATTTTTATTTTTTATTTTATTATTTATTTACTTCTATTTTTATTTATTTATTTTTTTGAGACAGAGTCTCGCTCTGTCACCCAGACTGGAGTGCAGTGGCGCAATCTCCACTCACTGCAAGCTCCGCCTCCCGGGTTCACGCTATTCTCCTGCCTCAGCCTCCTGAGTAGCTGGGACTACAGGCACCCACTATCACGCCCGGCTAATTTTTTGTATTTTTTTTTTTTTTTTAGTAGAGACGAGGTTTCATCGTGCTAGCCAGGATGGTCTCGATCTCCTGACTTCATGATCCGCCCACCACACTGGGCAATACATAGTGAGACCCCATCTCTTTAAAATTTTGTAAAACAAAGACATAATAAATCTGTTATCAAGCCACAAAGACACAAAGATACTTTAAATGCGTATTTTTACATGAAACGAAGAGGTCGAAATGGCTACTTACAACATGATTCCAAGTACATGACATTCTGGACAAGGCAAAACTCTAGAGGCTATAAAATCATCAGTTGTGCAAAGGGATTAAGGGGTTAGTAGAAGAGAGGGAGGGGAGTGTGATGACTACATGAAGCAAAAGGGATTTTTAGGGCAGTGAAACTCTTCTGTATAAGACTGGTGGGTATAGGCCGAGCACAGTGGCTTGCACCTGTAATCCCAGCACTTTGGGAGGTCAAGGCAGGTGGATCACCTGAGGTCAGGAGTTCGAGAACAGCCTGACCAACATGGTGAAACCCCATCTCTACTAAAATACAAAATTATCCAGGTGTGGTGGCAGGCACCTGCAATCCCAGCTACTTGGGAGGCTGGGGCAGGAGAATCACTTGAACCCGGGAGACGGAGATTGCAGTGAGCCAAGATCACACCATTGCACTCCAGCCTGGGCAACAGAGTGAGACTCCATCTCAGTAAATAAATAAGACTGGTGGGCCAGGTGTGGGATTACAGGTTGGGATCATGCATGTAATCCCAGCACTCTGGGAGGCCAAGGCGGGTGGATTATCTGAGGTCAGGAGTTCGAGACAAGCCTGGCCAACATGGTGAAACCCTGTCTCTACTAATACAAATATTAGCCGGCACCTGTAATCCCAGCTACTTAGCAGGCTGAGGCAGGAGAGTTGCTTGAACCCAGGAGGCAGAGGCGGCAGTGGGCCGAGATCGAGCCACTGCACACCAGCCTGGGCAACAAGAGCGAAATCCTGTCTCAAAACAAACAAACAAAAAACAAAAACAAACAAAACTGGTGGGTATATGACACTTGTAGTTGTCAAAATCCTACTGCCATCCTGCTCACTGATGTGCTCAATGACGGTTTCTCATCAATGCTGTATTGTATCATTCCCCACCGCACTGTGTACCCCACGTACATTTTGATTTGCTTCACCCTGTTGGGGTGGGTTTTCATTGTCCTGTGGAATCATATTCCTCATTCACTAGTCTGAGAGAATCCAGACGACAGGAATCATTTCTCTTTTCCTTCAATAGCACCATCCAATTGGCTCACTAGCCACGTTTCAAAGTAACAGAAACTGGAGTTGGAGGAGAAAAGCTGAGCACGGCAAGGAGTTGGCTAACTAGATGAAGAGTGTACCAGTCATCTCCTTTCACCCCGGAAAATTCAGTGGCTCTCTTTGGAGGCCCCACCCCCACACCACACGCTAACTTGTGGGAAGAGTGGCCCCAAGGGTGATACTCCCTAAACCCTCCTAGAGACATGGCAAGTGTGGGCATGTTGGGGTAGCCCCGGGCAGTTCTAAACCCCAACATCAGGGAAAGATAGGAGGGGTCTCCTGAAGACACATCACCCCACAAAGTTTCCAAAGGGGAACTGAGGCAAGAGAATAGGGTCTGGAGGCAGGGAACTGAAGGCCAATTTGTGCCGAGTTCCTAAAGCTGAATCAAGGAAAAACACCAAAGTCTGGGGTCAGGGAATCTAAGGCCAATAAATGCTGACTTCCCAAAGCTGGATCAAAAGGAAAACACCTGGGTCTGGGGGCAGGTAACCTAAGCCAATTAATGCCAACTTGCAAAAGCTAAACCAAAAGGAAAAATCCCAGCTCACCCACGGGATCAAAGACTACTCTCTCTTTACAACCCTTCCCCTTCCACCTTCTCAGATGGAAAGGAAAAGTGTATCTGCATAGGGCACCAATTAACCTCAGCCTTTAATTAGCCACAGACCAAATCCTTTCCAGGACCAAATCCTACATCAAGAGAAGGGGTAGCTGAAAGGGACCTCAAAAGGAGTACTTAAAACCTAGAAAACTTTGTAACTGAGTCCTTGAGCCACTTGCTGGGCCCACTCCCATCTTGGAGTGCTTTCTCCCTTTAATAAATCTCTGCTTTCCTTTCGTTGCTTCCTTCCTGTGTTTCGTTAGTTACTTTTTTAGTGCGTTTTGTTCAATTATTTGTTCAAAATGCCAAGGACCTGGACAGCTCACACTCACAACCTTCTTTCAGGTAACAAAACCTCAAGTGCAAGATATTCGGAGCAGGTGTTTGTGCTCTAAGGAAAGATAACACGAGGAAAGGAACAAGGGTTTTTTTTCACTGGAGTGTCAAGACGTTATTTTCTACTTTCCTCTTATGTGAAATGTTCAGAAATAGAAATATTTTTAAAAGTCACCCGTGGTTCTGTTAAAAAAAAAATTAAGAAACCATTAAAATGCTTCATCTGTTTGAAGGAAAGGGTGAATATATTGTACAATATAGAACAAATAGGCCGGACAGCTGGCTCACGCCTGTAATCCCAGCACTTTGGGAGGCCGAGCTGGGTGGATGACTTCGGGTCAGGGGTTCGAGACCAGCCTGGCCAACCTGGTGAAACCCTGTCTCTACTAAAAATACAAAAATTAGCCGGGCATGGTGGTGGACGCCTGTAATCCCAGCTACTCTGGGAGGCTGAAGCAAGAGAATCGCTTGAAGCCAGAAGGCAGAGATTTGCTGCGACCGAGATCGCACCATTGCACTTCAGCCTGGGTGACTGAGACTCCATCTTAAAAAAAAAAAAAAAAAAGGACAAATAGTTGATAATACTGTGAATTGGAGAAGGGAAGTTAATGTTTGGAAATATGAGAAGGGAACTGAAAATGTAAGATGCTACCACAGGCCTTTCAAGAGTTAGGCTGGGGTCATAGCGGGGAAGATGTGAGACCCTGCAGACCACAGATTTGGAAAATGGAGGGGGAAACCAGTCCATGTGGGCAGCGGGAAAAACCTTAAGTAATCAGACTGAAGTGTGCGCAGTGCACTAAAGTCCTACCTGAGGGCACTGAAATCCAACTCAACTGCAATATTTCCACGTTTCTGGTAACAAACCACACACCATGACTGCGCGCTTCTCATTCATGAATTCCCATTTGCACAAACTCTTGAATTTTTATCAGTGCCTCTTTTTTTTCTTTTTTTCTTTTTTTTTTGAGGTGGAGTTTCACTCTTGTTGCCCAGGCTGGAATGCAGTGGTGTGATCTCGGCTCACCGCAACGTCCACCTCCCGGGTTCAAGGGATTCTGCCTCAGCCTGCCGAGTAGCTGGGATTACAGGCACACGCCACCACGCCCAGCTAATTTTGTATTTTTAGTAGAGACGGGGGTTTCTCCATGTTAGTCAGGTTGGTCTCGAACTCCTGACCTCAGGTGACCCACCTGCCTTCGCCTCCCAAAGTGCTGGGATTACAGGCGTGAGCCACCGCGTCCTGCCATTTTAACTTTTAAGAGGAGAAAAGACGACTGGGGACCCCACAGACCACCGCTTTTCTGACGCAAGAACCCCACACCCGAGACGGGATTCCCCCCATGATCCTCCCCATGGCCCAGCACAATCTGAGGAGACCCGCGGCTGAGGGCTCGGAGTTGCCCAAAGGGGGCTCCGGGACCGGGGCCGGGGCCGCAGTCGCTGTGCAGGGACGAGACAGGATGCCCCGGGTCAGGGATGCCGGCCCAGCCCCACAGACCCCGGAGTCGCCGCGGGGAGGCCCGGGACCTGCCACAGCCGGTTCTAACCAGCCCTTCGCCCCCGCCTCAGGATGCCTGGCCCCACACACTCACCATGCCTGAGCTCCCAACTTTATTCCCCAGGGCTCCTGCGACTAGAGAGGAACACAGCGCAGGTGACAGAGCGACAGGAGCTCTGGCGGAGAAACCTGGAGCCTCTCAGAGCCGAGAGTTCATAGAGCCGAGAGTTCATAGAGCCGGAAAGAGAGTTCCAACGGTCGTTACCACAACAACAAATGAGACCGGGGGCGTGCGCCGCCTTCTCCTTCCCAAGAAAAACAGTTGTCAGGGTCCCGCCCCGGCGCTCCTGATTGGACCGTGCGCCCCGCCTCGCCCTCTGAGCCCTGAGTGACAGCAGAAGCCCGGGATAATGGGGCCCTGCGGCGCCAGACTGGTTCTATTCACTTCCTTTTTAAGGCCCATCTCCCTCCTTGTGCCCTGATCCTTGGATATCTGCATTTCCGCCAAACTTTCCTGAACTTCATTTATATATATATATATGATTGATTGGTTGACTGATTAACTGAAAGGGGTCTCGCTCTTCTCGCCCAGGCTGAAGGTGTAATGGCGTGACCTCGGCTCACTGCAACCTCTGCCTCCCGGGTTCAAGCGATTCTCCCGCCTCAGCCTCCTGAGTAGCTGGGATTACAGGCACCTGCACACCACCACACCTGACTTTTTTTTTTTTTTTTTTTTTTTTTTTTTTTTTTTTTTGTGATTCGAGACGAAGTTTTGCTTTTGTTGCCCAGGCTGGGCGTGACCTTGGCTCCCTGCAACCTTCACCTCTTAGGTTCAAGCGATTCTCCTGCCTCAGCCTCCCGAGTAGCTGGGATTACAGGCATGCGCCACTATGCCTGGCTAACTTTTGTATTTTTAGTGGAGATGGGGTTTCACCATGTTGGCCAGGCTAGTCTCCAACTCCTGACCTCAAGTGATCCCCTTGCCTCGGCCTCCCAAAGTGCTGGGATTACAGGCGTG